CGAAACACACGCTGTCACAGCAAGAAACTTCTGGGATCGTTTATCGCATCTGGTACGGTTACGGACAAGGCAACTACGTCGAAGATGGCTGACACGGCAATATCCACATCAAGGTGTATCACTGCATCCCGTGGTCCACGATGGGATTTTACCCAAATGGGTCGAAAAGACAAGGATGACATTGGTCACACGGCCTGTGTACCCAGCGGAGGCACAAGCGCATCCACCGGCAGGGAGTCAGGTGCCAGAGAACTGCCATCGCGCGCCACGCTGCGAGAACCATGGTCTGCCGAGGCGTCGCATAGCATACTCCCGTACTTTTTAAAGCCTACAGGACTGAAACGCAGCCTTGCATTTAACCTAGACATCACCATTCAAGGCTGGGCAACCAGTCAGTTATCGACTGAGAGGGACTAAACACACTCATTACATGCGTGAAAGTGCCAAAGGTCACGTTAAGAAGCAGCCGTTGTAGCCTGACGCTCAGTCCACCACGCCACACAAACGCACACACTACTGGGCTGACTGCAGGGACTGAGTTGAGGCGTCTGGCGACAACCTACTCAGCCACGGCGCTTGGCGCACCGTGATAGACTCAGTCTCGGATAACACATGTAGGAGACGAACCACGTGGAGAAGTGTCAGTTGTGTGCTTGCGTCGTGTGTCGGCTACGTGTTTGTTTGGTACGATGATGGATGTTGTTAATGTGGGCTGCAGGTACTAGGAGTGTGATGGTGTGGTAAAGCCGGCGGCTGTCTACCTCAGCTTTTCATGAATGCGCATGTGGCCTAATAGACTCATTCGGTGGCTGAATTTGGGAAGGCAATGTCGACGGCTGAGGCGAATGTGTGTCTGGCACATGTTTATGCTCCAGGCACTGGTTAGCCACTCTCCCTACGATGGATTCTCATGCAACCGAACATGCCGATGTGTGAGATGAATGTGCGACCGTAATTAGGGCAGGATGGGACCGAGTTCACATCGTTGGATGTGGGGATGCCGGTGTTGATGACGTCGGACGATGTCCCATCACTGGGGGGAGGTGGGGGGCGTGCGAGATGTCGTGGTGTTGGCGTAACTGGCCGCTGTGATGGACGCAGGGATTGAGGCAGGCTGGATGCTGTCAGTGATTGATGACGGCGGGACAGCAGCAGTGTAATCATGGGTGACGGAGGTGGTCCTCGTCGCGAGGTTTGTAACAGGGACGAGAGTAGCGGTGCACATGGGAGGAGTAATTGACGCTGTCAGGTTGTCGGTGCATTGCGTCCAGAGGTGTCCCACGAGGCCAATTCGCGCGTGGAATGTGCGTTGGCAGTGCAGGCATGTTGAAATGACAGACGGTTGACATTGAGAAGTCGAGGCAATTGTGACTTGCGAGCCTCTCTTTTGGCTTTGACGGCAACGACCAGATTTGCTTCATAGATGGTTACGCCTGTCTTAACTTCTCCTCAGCATGCCGGTCTGTTCTGAGTGAGGTTTGCCCAGGACTTTGAGTCGATCTTCATTTGTTCCAGAGAGTCCTTTAAAGTGCCTTGTCGCTCCGTTTTTGTCCTCCATGTTGACGAGTTTCCCTGGCAACATCACCATAGAAGATTTGTTTTGGTAGACGTTCATCTTTCATCCTCACGAGATGGCTGCTCCACCGTAGTTACAGCTGCCTCAGCCTGGCTTGAATACTGAGGATTCTGGTTCGTTTTAGGATTTCCGTGTCGGGTATCCTGTTTTGCCATCTCACTTCTAATATTCTGCGCGGACAGCTGAGATAGGAGTGGTTGAGCTTTCTGGCATGGATGGAGTAGACGGCCCAGTTCTCCGCTCCGTATAGAAGTATTGTCAAGACGACGGCCTTGCACATCTTCAGGAAAATTGTGCCGCTTCTCGAAAAATCCTCGCCTTCCAGGACGTCAAAGTGCCAAGTCAAGGAAATGGCCAATGAGCCGGCGAACCATTTGGAGTTCGACACATCTTAATATTTTCTATCGGACTCTGTACAGCCCAAACAGCCGGAGGTCTGATGCGGAGTCAGACAGGATGCAGCCGAGACAAACCTAAGCTGAGCCAGGACTTATTTCGGACGCTAATGCAGGCTGAGGAGAACCGGAGGACAATCCGAATCATCAAGTCCCCTATCGGCCAAGGACGCTGGAGTGACTGGAGGCCGGTCACGGGAACTTCCAGTTAGTTATGAACGCAAATTCAACCACTAGCATAGAATTCGCGGGCAACACAAGCGTGAGGGAGTACGAGAGAGGGAAAGGGGCAGTATGCGTCAGAATGGAGTAGCAAATGCGGACAGCGTATATGAGCTCAATGGTCTTTGAGACCCGGATGCCGTCGCCTGAAGGGAGACGGAGATAACGTTTGCCGTGGCGTTAACAACAACTCCCCTTCTCCCGCAAAGCATGCTACTAATGTTCAAAAGCGAAGTGGGATTATTGAGTCCCTAGCGAGCTCAAATTTTTTGGCCTGCGCGTGCGTGAAGGCTCTGAAGAACGCGCATAACGATCGACCAATAAAGTGACCGCCCGGTTGATAGAAACTGGGCCATGAGAGACCTATACGAAATTGTAAAGTGCGGAGGCAACAAAGTTTTCCGTTCCTACAGTCGTTAGTCTCCCCTTTGGCAGGATACGATCACCTGTGGCAGTCCGACACGAGACAAAGCAATCGAAAGTATCTGTCTGCATTCAGTAAAGTTAAGGCGATCCGGAAGGACTTTAACGCGCGGTGGAAAATCATCGCGTCGCGGAGCAGTCTCGCCCCACACCTACATTGCGTGTGAGCGCTACAGTCAAAGCCGTCCTTTTACACGGCTGTAAAACTCGGTGTCTGCATGCTGAGCTGTCGTGTTCGGATGGATTAGCAGGTCCACCTCCCATGGACGTTGCAATAAAAGGTTACCGTCTCCGGTGGACCAGTAATGAGCACAAACGATCTGACGGGAATAGCATTCGTGACATGACAGTTCGACCGTCCCTGCCGACGATGTCCACTATGTGCTTCACAACTAGATGAGAGCAGGGACGGTGACTTGTGGGTGAATTAATTTATAGTACTGGTAGACTTGCCCAGCATCTACCACAGTCCCTCCTCCTCCTCCCCCACCTAGACTTCCTGTATGGCACGGTCGAGCCCACACCTTGGCGCTCCACTCCTCACACCTGGTCCAGACAGCAAATGACCTGGCTTTTGACTAACCAACAATAATGGGGGGCGGCAGGGGTCCCAGTGTGCGCGACAGCTACCGGTAGCCGGGTCTGTTACCGCACCCCGAAATGTTGGTATTTGTTAAAGAGGGCAATTCCGATAACGCCTGTCAGAATCTGGTATGTCACCCCCCTCCCTGTTGGTCCAGCGTATCTATCACGTGGCCCTTTGGGGGGCACATTCATGATATATTATACGACGCTCAATCTGAGTTGGCACGGCCGCGGTGGCATCCAACTAAAGAAGCCGATAGCTGGATATTAGGCCCAACGGTATTTGAGGGTGGTGCAGGACAGAGAGTATCGGGTGACGAAATCGTCCGTCGAAGAGCAGGGGGTGCACTGGGCTTGACAAACTAGCACCGGTTCCGGTTGCCGCTGTCCAGTAACTGCAAAGCAGGCTATTAATGTTCAAAGGCGAATGCCGATATGCTGCGGCCAATTTTCATACAAGGTGATGTAACCAAAGCGACAGGTCGGTCGCAGAAGCCTGAGACCCGGGTTACCACGATCTTCAGACCCGGTCCCGAATGGGAAGAGAAGATCGACGACAGTTGAGAGGATGATGTCCTCCCTACAGAATAATTGGAGGAGGGGTTAAAGAGAGAGAGTTGGCAGTCTGGCAAGGCTACGTCCGGCGCCGGAAGAGCGGCGCCCTAAATGTAAGTTGGAGAATGTGTCAGGGCCAGGGCGGGTCTGACCCGGCCTTGAATGTGATTGGCCAGCTGGAAAGTCAAGTAGGCGAACGCCAGACAGCCCTACTGCGCATGTGCAGACATTCGTGAAAGTCCCAGCGTTGCGGTAGGCGCTCGGAGAGGGCCACTAAAGGTCCGCTGCAGCAGCAGGCACTTATGAGTAATACACTGGTGACTGACACCAACGACATCGGTGAGTATGCTGAACACCTCTACATCTCTCCATTCCGGCACCCTGCTCTCATCTGACTCCCCGAAGGTCGTGTCCAGCACAGTGGTCACACCCCGGCGACCGTCCCTGGCCAGCGAGCTAAATCAAATCCTCAAACAAAAACGTCCTACGGAGAGAACGGTATGCGATCCGGCAAACAACCCAGATTCACTCAGGTTGTCCTCCGGTTAGGCCAAAGTCCTAACCCACAGTGGAACTCGGTAGCTTCCCGGGATGACCAAGTGGCTTCACATAGGGGTAGCACTGCTTGACCCCTCATGCCCTAGGATGGCTGATAAAACAGACCGACGCCTAGCTGACAGTGGCGTAGGGATGCAAAACCTGTGGTTAAGTAAACAACCATATCCGTCCCCACCCTAATGCATCCCCACAGGCTGCTAGGACGACACTGCTCGAGCAGGGATAGGCCTCGTCGGGCAGCGGCAAGACGACAAACCCGCCTCTAATCGCACAACACTCCGCCATCCTACAAAATGTTGCCACCACTGCCCCTTCTACCAGCGGCATGAACTCCATTACAACCTATTCCCAGTCCAAACGTGTTTTCTCATCGAACACGGACCTGAGCGATCATTTTTGTTTACATTGCACATTGACTGACAAACAAGTGCTTGGAACCCCCGACATAACCGGTCACGTTTGCAAGCGCAAGAGATCCGAGTCGGTAGTCTGAGAACCGCATAGGCCTCACTGGATCAGAGGAATCGCATAAATGACTTTCCAAAGAGCTTGGTCGGCTCTTTATTATCAAAGCGTTCTATGCAAAAAGTCGACCAGAATGTTAAGGGGCCGAATTAATTGGCGTTCGACTGGTCGATTTTTTCTTCTTTCACTGTCTTGACCCTCTGGTCGTCGTTATTGAATCTATGCGGCCTCCGGCAGCCTCCTCCTCCCCCTCCTCCTCCTCCTCCTCCTCCTCCTCGCCCTCCACCGCCACCACCACCATCGGGGTGATGCCTGGCCTCCTTTGTGTCAAGGTCATTCACTACCACAGCGGTTCCGGACGCACTGACTTGAAGTCACTCGACCGACTTCAACTTTCACGCAGGTGCGCCCATGGAGTCGCAGCTGACCAGGAGCCACTTGAACACCCCACCCCACCCCCTCGGCAAATACAACACACGTCGACAAGACATCACTTAAGCCTGGTCCACAAACCTACAAAAACAGCAGCCGCTACTATCTCACAAAGCTCACAGGCATGACTGGACACTAGCTCTCCCTTCGCCAGCGGCCACTGCCGCCTGAGAAGACAACGTAGGGGGTTCTGTGTGCAATAAACTAGTCATTCTAGTGACTTTGGTCTTCTGCAATTCGGGATTAGGGCTGGTGATTGTGGCGCTGTGAGTACTCTCACCGCTTGGCCGCCACACTACTACTACTACTATTACTACTATTACTACTACTGCTACCATTAATACTACTAATACCATTACAACAACAACAACTACTGCTACCATTACTACTACTACTACTACTACTACTACTACTACTACTACTACTACTACTACTACTACTATTACTACTACCACCACCACCACTAATACTGGTCAAATTGGTGACTTATTTATCCGCTGGCGCAGATACTGACCTGGCAGTCTTTGCAAGTACTCACAAGCACGCGTTGCACACGCTGTCGCTGTTTGACCAGCACTCACTGAGACGCGACGGGCCGTATTGCGACTCCGGACTCAGGCGACGCACGTGACAGCGCCATCGTGGTGCACTCAGTTGCCTTGGCGGCTGACCTCAACCACCCGCATGCTCTAATGAGCACACAACACTTGTGCTTTGTGTGGATGGGGGGGGGTGTCCGTAGATGTCCTGACGGACGGTCCCGCACAAGCTGTGCAAAAACACACATCGACAAGCACGCACCCACAGGGTAAACGGCATTTTCTTTGTCATACCTGGGACCTAATCGTCTCGGCGGGTTTGGGCGACATTGTCTGTTGACAGAAAAGGCCACTACACCCCAAGGTCTGAGGTTTCCCCACCACATTTTGCAGATTGGTATTGCCGATGTGCATATATCAAAGTATAACCGTAATCAGAGAACAGCACAAAGAATGCATTTATTGCGTGCGAATGTATGTGGGGGGAAATTCCTGAAAGGAGTCTGGAAGTGAGGTCTAGCATCGTTACTCCAAGGGGAGATTTGATAACTTTCGCTCAGCAGATCCGGTTGGGGGGCGGGGTAGGGTAGAAAGGAAGATTATAGCAAACTCTGTCTGCCAGAGGGTAGACAGAAAGAAAGTGAAATAATACCGAAGAGGCATAAACTCACTCAAAACTTAGTCCCAGTCCAAACGCGTTTCCTCATCGAACACGGACCTGATCGATCACTTTTCTACACACTGTACAATGACTGACAAACAAGTGCTTGGAAATCCCGACATGACCGGTCACGTTAGCAAACGCAAGAGACCCGAGTCGGTAGTCGGAGAAACGCATAGGCCTCCCCGGATCAGAGGAGTCACATGACTGACGTTTAGAAGGGCTTGATCGGCTTTCCATTATCAAAGCGTTCTGTGCAAAAAGTCGAACAGAATGTTAGGTATGTGATCGAATATGTTGGCGTTGGACTGATCAATTTTTTCCTTCTTTCGTTGTCTTGACCCTTTGGCTGTTGTTAGTGAATCTTTGCGGCCTCCAGCGTTACGTGTCGTCACCTCAGTGAGGGTCGGTTGCATCTGGGTCTCTCACCCCCGTCCCTTCGGGTGACCTTTTCGACGGATCGTATTTTGCCGGTATTTTTAAGCTGCTTTTGACCATCTTGTCCTGGTCATAGAGTATGCAATGACGTAGGAATTTATAGGCTACAGGAAGATCTAAAGGCATGCTGGTTGAGTTGGCATCTGAGTTCCGAACCTCAAGTGTGAGACCTTCTGTCCATGGGACGCCCCACTGTTCCTTGAAAGTCTGAACTGTGGCCATTTCCTCCGATTTGAGTTGCAAGCTGCGAGTTCATGTCAGGTGCCAACTCCATCAACAGACATTGAAATCTTGTTGTTGCCTATAAAGTCCTACGCCGTTACATACGCCATGACTAGGACAAGACGGTTAAACGACCCATCGAATAATTCACTCGAATGGTGGGTGGAGAGACGCAGGTGCAACCGAACCTCATCGAGGTGACGACCAATAAGGCTGGAGGCCGCAAAGATTAACATACGACTGCCAGAAGGTTAAGAAAGCGAAAGAAGGAAAAAATCGGTCAGCCCAAGGTCAAATAATTTGACCTTTTACTTAAAATTCTGGTAGCCTTTTTGCATAAAACGCTTTGCCAACGGAAAGCCAGCAAAGCCCTCCGAAATGTCAGTCACGCAATTCCCCTGATTCGGTGAACCCCAATGCATTTCTCTGATAACCGGTTACGCGCCCCTCACTGTCCCCTCAGACATTCAGACACCGTATGTGCCTTTTCGGAGATATGCGCCCACGCGATTGCGGGACTCCTCACCGCATCACCACAACCAACGCACATTTTATACCCAAAACCACTACCACCAACAGTAATGACTGCAGAATCGGCGTCGGCACCACCACCTCAACAACGTACGCCCACGTCTCGGAAGTTACGAAAGGCGAGAGGTGTTCAGACGCACCGAAGTTCATGTGCGGCCAGAAGCCACCTGACCGCAGGACTAGTCTCACCTTGCGAGCGCACGCATGAGTCAGTCTGCAATTACCGCCTGATATCCGCAAGGAGTCAGCGGACTGGCGCTCAGAGATCAGTCAATCGGAATGCGACTGTTAAACACCTCGTGACTCCTGAATGTGAGGCCTTAGACATACGAGTTGGGAAGCTGATACGCATGCTTGTTGTGCTTGTCGCGGTACAGCTAAACTACCTGTCGTGCCTGCCAATCCTCCATCCTGCTTTTCGGTCGCAGCACACTACTGACCGACATAGCAAGTAGTTATTTAGGTGAGCGAAGGAAATGATCAGTGACGAATAGATGATGGAAGTACAGCAGGCCATTTTCATGGTTTTCCACGATGAAATGCGGTAATGTTGGAAGTAGACATGAAGGGAGGACGAAAGGAATTTACTTACATGTGGCATGCGGAAAATAAAACAAAGACGACAAGAAAATTATATCGGAATAATCGTGTCGGACTAAAACCCACTTAAAAAGCATAGTAGGTATTCCTTGTGTGTCACAAATTGTTTGTGGTCCTTCTCCCGATCCTAAACGAGGTGAGGAATGAAGCCATCGTTCACTCCGATGTCTCTGACTACATACTGTGCGCAGCCTCGCTCTGGACGAATGCGAATGGCGAGCACGGAAGGAAAATGTAAGCAGGTTGAAAAGAAGCCTTGGCTATAATTTTCGCTGTTCAAGGATCCCACCAGTTGGCGAGATTTGGTTCTGCAGCCCTTTACTACTTTTATCCAGCGACTGACTCTGCCTCTGTGGGGGGAGTGCTTATACGCCAGCCACGGTTTCATCAGGTATCAGTACATGTGCGCTTTCTTGCGAGTGATTTGAGCCCTGCTTGCGCCCTCTTTTCTATCTCAATCCACCGATCAGCTAAGTAGGCTTGCTAATGCCATTGTTCGGACGGTGTCGCACTTCGTCTCTTCTACTGTTGTGGCCA